GTCCATAATAAGGAAGAAATAGTTGGTTAAAGAATAGAAACACACAAAAAGCTGTTGAAATGAGCCAAAAACTTCGACTATTTCGGATCTGAAGCTTTAAGCGTCCTTTTAAATCAGCTGCACTTCATTGAGATGAACATGATGTAAAACTCGAGAGATTTTGAGAGACTTCGCCCGTACAAACATTTCGGCCAAAAATTCAAATTTTCAGATGCGTGTTTTTCGGCTTAATGGATTGTTTCTGGCTCAAACATGCCCTAATGCGCATATATAAAGTGTTTGCGTCCATAATAAGCAAAATATCATGAGAAAGATCTCGACCGCCCAAACTCACTCGAAATGAGCCAAAAATGTCGATTATTTCGGATGTTTAGCTTTAAGCGCCGTTTTAAACCACCCCGTTGCATTCTTCACTTCATTGAGATGAAAATGATCGAGATAAGAACCCGAGAGATTTTGAGAGACTTGATTTTTTTTTTAAATCGACCTTCACCCTTAGGAAAATTTCGGTTAAAAATTCAAATTTCACATGTGTGTTTTTTTTAGCTCAATGGATTGTTTCTGGCCCGAAAAGCTTTCTAATATGCATATATAGTGTTTGCGTCCATAATAAGCAAAATATCATGAGAGAAAGATCACGACCGCTCAAAACTCACTCGAAATGAGCCAAAAATGTCGATTATTTCCGATCTGAAGCTTTTCGGCGTAGTTTTAAATTAGTTCATTGCATTTCTCACTTCCTTACGAACAAACTGATGTAAAAGTCGAGAGATCTTCAGACTTGTTTTTTTTTTTGTTTAAATCGACATTCACCATTAGGAAAATTTCGGTCAAAAATTCAAATTTTCAAATGCGCGTTTTTCGGCTTAATGGTTTGTTTATGGCCCAAAAGGCTCCTTAATGCGCATATGTAAAGTGTTTGCGTCCATAATAAGCAAAATATCATGAGAGAAATATCACGACCGCTCAAAACTCACTCGAAATGAGCCAAAAATGTCGATTATTTCCGATCTAAAGCTTTTGGGCGTAATTTTAAATTATTTCATTGCATTTCTCACTTTCTTACGAAGAAACTGATGTAAAAGTCGAGAGATTTTGAGACTTGATTTTTTTTGAAAAAAATTGACCTTTACTATTAGGAAAATTTCGGTCACAAATTAAAATTTTCAAATGCGCGTTTTTCGGGTTAATGCATTGTTTATGGCTCAAAAGGCTCCTTAATTGGTATATATAAAGTGTTTACATCAATAATAAGCAAAATATCATGAGAGAAAGATCACGACCGCTCAAAACTCACTCGAAATGAGCCAAAAATGTTGATTATTTCCGATCTGAAGCTTTTGGGTGTAATTTTAAATTAGTTCATTACATTTCTCACTTTCTTACGAAGAAACTGATGTAAAAGTCGAGAGATTTTGAGAGACTTGATTTTTTTTGGAAAAAATCGACCTTCACCCTCAGGAAAATTTCGGTCAAAAATTCAAATTTTCAAATGCGCGTTTTTCGGCTTAATGGTTTGTTTATGGCCCAAAAGGCTCCTTAATGCGCATATRTAAAGTGTTTGCGTCMATAATAAGCAAMATATCATGAGAGAAAKATCACGACCGCTCAAAACTCACTCGAAATGAGCCAAAAATGTCGATTATTTCCGATCTAAAGCTTTTGGGCGTAATTTTAAATTATTTCATTGCATTTCTCATTTCCTTATGAAGAAACTGATGTAAAAGTCGAGAGATTTTGAGACTTGATTTTTTTTGAAAAAAATCGACCTTCACCCTTAGGAAAATTTCGGTGAAAAATTCAAATTTTCAAATGCGCGTTTTTCGGCTTAATGGTTTGTTTATGGCTCAAAAGGCTCTTTAATGCCCATATATAAAGTGTTTGCGTCAATAATAAGCAAAATATCATGACAGAAAGATCACGACCGCTAAAAAATCGCTCGAAATAAGCCAAAAATGTCGATTATTTCGGATCTTTAGCTTTAAATGCGGTTTTAAACCATCTCGTTGCATTCCTCACTTAAGGAAGTGAGGAATGCAACTATAGTGTTTGCGGCCATAATAAGTAACATATAATGAAAGAAAGATTGTGACCACTCAGACTGAGCCGAAAATGTCCATTATTTCATTTCTGAACCGTCTACAGTATTTGCCAATTTGCCCGTTGAGATAAAAAATGATGTGGAATTCAAGGTATTTTGAAAAACCTGATATTTGGTCAAAAAATCAACCTCCTATGCGATTTTCGCTCAAAATTTTAAAATTGACAAGCGCGTGTTTTGAGCTCAATTACCACATCACAGCAAGAATTGGCAGTTAATGACTTCAATAAACATGCTGTATTTATTTGACCTCCACAATTGAAACAATTTCTGAAAACCGACTGGTTCTGAATATTCTTTAAATAAATTAATCAATTTCGATTCTCAGACTCGAAATAGCTTAATCCACTTAATCCGAGTGACATCAGAATCAGATGGAGGCTTTGTATGGCAATAAACGCGACTTACGGATGCAATTTGCTGATAGCCTTAAAGGTCTATCCATTTTTGCTTTACAGCTTTCAATGTAAAAATTGTGTTCTTAAGCGCTTTGCTCTCCAAATCCTATGGCATCAATTAATTTTAATTTCAGTTAATAAAAGAACGTGTTGCAAATTACCCCAATTGTAGCAATAATTATATGACGATTTAATATATCTTTTAATTGTTTAGTTGTTGTTTAAGTATAAGTAAGAAAGTTAATACATTCAAAATTCAAAAATCAAAAACGAACAATTGAACGCCTAAAACCCCGGGAAACTCAACAGTTGTATACGCACAAATTAATTTAGCTTTTAACCATCTTAAGCCGCAATGCAATGAGTCGATTAAGAAGTCTGAAAAGTCGATTATCAAATAGTTTGCGCTCATTCCAGTTGCGTTCAAAATTGAGATAACACCACGTACTTGAACTGGTTATTAATTTTCTAGTTCACCACTGATTGGCTTTGATTATTTAATTAGGTCTAATTTATTATTATTCCGTTCTGGGTAACCATACAGATTTAATTAAGAACCCAAATAGACTGACCTTTTATTATTTTTCGCATTTAGCTGCCGCTTTTCGGTAACATAGTCAAGAGCCCGAGCTAGAGCGCCCCACATGATTATCAATCGGGTTACTTAGATTATCATACACTTAACCCATGGGGCATTGCGTTTATTAACACTTACCGCACGATTAGTCAAACAACATTCTAGGCCATAACGAATAAAGAACACAGTGTTAATTCTGATAAACACTTTTATTATTATTATTATTATTATGGCTATTGCATAACAGAACCTTAGTTCACTTTAGTGTATTTACCCATAAATGCCCTAAAAATGGAGTGCCGAAGCTAATCATAGCCATCCTCGCTTCTGGATACTTAACACAGTGTCCTTCAGCTTCCTTCTGTGATTGGGCCCCAGCAGATCCTTCCTGCTCCAGTCGGAGTCTTGGAACTCTTCAGAGCTGTTCGTCACCTTGCCCTTTTCAGTGCAGATTGGCTTGAGCATGATGAGCACATGGTAGAGCTCGGTGGGAGCCACTTCGTTCAGTTCCTCTAGGAAATTCTCCCAAGAGAACGGAGCAAGATCCAGCCGGAAATCTGCTAAGGTCTTCAGAAACGTCTCGTGGTACAGCCGCAAAAAATCATCGAAATGCTCGTCCAGAATGGTGTTGATCACGCTGGTGAACAGGAAAAAGACCAGGTCGCAACAGCAACTCCAGTACCTGAGCAGCTGCAGATCCACGATCTTGTTCTTCACGGTGCGGCCAGTTTGGTCCTTCTGGATCATGGTGTTACTGACCCAGAAATCCGCGTGGCACATCGTGCCCCAAGGTTCGTTCGGATTGCTCCTGTTCACGAAAGGATTCGCCGCGCCATCATCAACAATCTTCTGTATTTGCGCCAAGTAAGGCTGCAGCTCTGGCATTTCGCGAGCTCCTTCCATGATGGCATTGTGGAAAGTTGTGCCCACCTCAGGCGGCAGTTGCTCCAGGCCTTTATTGGAAACGGTGGCTGGCAGGACTTTTTCCTTAAACGCCTGCGGCTTGAGAAGCTTCAACGCTATGGGCACCGCATGGTATCGGGCCAGGTCTTGCAAAATCACTCTGGTGGCGCTCAAGTCGAAGCCCTTCAATCGATCTTCCGTGATGAAACCTTGCAGCTTCAGATTCTCGAAGATCAACACTGCGTCTTCATCCACGATGTTTTTGTTCTCGTCCACGCTCACTCTGGCGCCGAAACACTTGGGCAGCAGATTGTCTATGAATTGCTCCTCTGGCACTCTGTGCTCTTTCTGCAGCGCGACCAGCTCGGGGATGGTGTGCTTGTATGCGAACACTTCCTTTTTGAACGTTACAGGTATATCGAAGGCCAGCCGCAGCATTTCATTAGCCGGGATCAGTTTGGCGACGAGATGCAAGTCCCCCTTGAGTCCAGACTTTTTGCGCTTGATTTTCACATTCAGCGCCAGCATCACGCTGCCGTAGTGCTCTCCTGGTGCGGTCAGCACTGCCGTCTCCTCTTCCAACACTTCCACATCCTCGCCAAGCGATTGAGTCAACAGTTCACCAACATTGTTCACTTTCGATTTCGCCATGTTGCACCGCAATTAGACCTGCCGACAAATCAGCTAATTGTCGATAACCGTTTCCTTTGCTCGATTTGCCCGACTTATATAAAATACTAAAACCGAAATTCAAAACTATTCGGCGACTAGCGACGTTTGGTGGGGATCAGCGCACTTTGCAGCCAATCAGTCCCCTGATTCCTGATAAACAGTCGGACTGATTATCTAATGAAACTGTAATTCGTCTGATGTCAATGGGATTCAAGTGTGTAGTTTTTTCGTTTTTGCGCGCTCTGTAATAAACTTCGTCGATAACGCGACGCATTCAATACTTTCAATAAAAAGATAAACTAAATGTGCAAGCGAGCAAATACATTAAACGCAGTTAATTACATGGAACCAAAGTGGTTTTACGCGAAAACAAACTACCTGAACATGGGGGGCTGGCGTTGGAAAACTTTGTTCAAAATTGCTTTCATTCAGCTGTTTATTAATTAGTCACTTCTTATTGCAACAAAACTATTATTTGCAGTGAGATTTTAATATATAGAAAAGCATGCATACAAATCGCAACATTTATTCTTAATTCTCCACAAATTTCATACTGAATCGAAACAATGTATGCCAGTTACAAGATGAATCCTGAGCAATATATTCTGTGGCCATTGCTACACCAAATAGCATCCACATATACAGGGTGATTCAAAATTGGCGTCATTCCTCTGGAGGTGTTGTCTGGCGGTGTTTTAGGAGAACAGAAAAAATAGTTAAAAAAATTAACCGTGACGCGAAATTTCAACATTTTCCTCGTACTCTCCAAGTGAGCCCCTATTACCCCTTAAAAGGAATGACGCCAATTTTGAATCACCCTGTATAAGGAA